GTATTTCTCATGTGCATGAGTCTCAACCACAAGTGAAGTTCTAGCATTTTAAACCCCCAAAGTGGAAAGAGAGAAGATTGCATTAGGTGTAGTAGAGGTCTCAAAGTATATTATTGGTAGAAGAACACAATTTTGGTCAAAACCACATTTTTCATGGTCTTTTGTTTTCCTAAAGAAATACCAAGTTTACATTTCAATAAAAGACACTGCATCAAGTACCTGAATTGGGCATATTATTAATGACATACAGTGTCATCATCCAAAGCATACTGGAGTTAATTGTTTTATGGATAGCTCCATGTTTGCGCTGAAGATGTTTGTTGAAAATAAGCAGCATGTTTGACAGCTGTTTTCATATATAATTGCCAAGACCCCTGAGAAGTGATGTTTTTCTAAGCCAGATGTGATCAAGACATGATCCACTAGAACTTTTTCTTATTTATCCCCATGTGTATTACTCAGGCTTAATTTGAGAGTCTAATGTGCTCTGTACTGTAGATTAACTCTCAGGTTGAACTCTTGTTTCGCTGTGAGTGTGAGTGGCGTGTGTGTCCCCAATTCATTTATACTTTTTATGTGCTGTTTGGATATTGAAGGAAAGTCTAATGCATTGGGCTTTTGCGCTCTCTAAAAAATGGGAATTAATGGGTACACTAACAACGTGCCTCAACTGAATTAGGTGTAAATGAGCTCAGTTCGGAAAATGTGCGAAAGAACACGTAATGTGACATTTATTAAATAAGTCATGCTGTATATAATGTGGAGAATAAAATGAAATATGGAATGAGAAACACTCTTCTGCTCTTGCATATACTATATTGATTACTTTATTTGCAAACTCCATGGTCTAATCAGAAAGGTTTTAATAATGAATATTTATAATGTAATGACTTGACTTAGAGGCAAGCAACCAAATATGAATATTGGAAGGAACATATAATTTGTTCTGTTCAGATACAAATACGGATACAAATAGAAGGTGCATTTCTATCTATCTATCTATCTATCTATCTATCTATCTATCTATCTATCTATCTATCTATCTATCCATCCATCCATCCATCCATCCATCCATCCATCCATCCATAAGCTTGCCAGAAATCTTTTTGAGACTAGGGGTTGAACTGGGTTCCCACAGGCAGAAACACAAAAGTCACAAGATCAGGAGGTTTTTACTTTCATGTGGCCAATGAGTCAGATATGAAGGTCATGGAAAAAAGAAATACCATATTTCATTGTGCATATGCACAATGCATTTACAGGGTTTATTAATTCATCCTTAGTAACTGCCTGGTCAGGGTCTCAGTGGTTTAAATTAGGCTACAATTTTATTTATCATCTGGGAAATAAAACTTACTACATAACAAACAATAACTGTGTGAGTAAGGATTTAAAAAAACATCTCCAGATGAGACCAATTATGATCTCTAGATGAGACCAATTATGATCATTTATTTATTTATTTATTATGTTTTTTATTTTATTTATTTTTTAAATTAGTGTTTTGCAGTGTTTCCAGAGGCATCATGGAAGCCCACTTTGGGTTTAAATCTGAATTGCGTATTGCCCTATGACCAGTGGCAGCCCTAATCTATTTGACGCCCGAGATTAAAGTTTTTATTGATGCCTCTCAAATTCCTGCCAAACACTGTCCATGCAGCCCACACTCACATTTTGAGTATATAATTGCATACTAACAGCATTAACCCCAATCCACCCACCCTTCCACAAACACACAGCATTGTTGTAATACTTAATGTACACCTACCAAGACAATTAGCTAAGCAAAAAAGACAAAGATCGATAAAAAAAAAGCAAGGTGAATAATGACGTGAAAATAAAAATAACATGCACGACAGTGGGAATCTCTGCAATATTCAGTTGCTTACTAAATGCTTGAGGAAAGGGCCCGGAATTTGAAAACCCCAGCCTCAGTAAAACATATTCTTTCCAGTTGAAAGGAAAAGAAACATCTAATCTGAACCAGCTATTAAAAAGAGAAGCTGTAGACTTTCCTCCCTTCAGAATAATCCTCTTGGCTCCAACCATAGCAAACATTAAAGACAATTGGAAAGGACAGGGCAACAGTGGAGCAGCCAAGAAGAGCAAATTCAATATCAGAAGCAATCTCCGATTTTATACCTATTTAAGTTTATTATTCTTTCCTGAGTTCTCAAACTGAAAGCACAACTGTCTCAAATACAGTACGAAAATACATTTTTAGTCAAGAAATAAAGATCTAAAGGCAATAAATAGAAATAAAAATAAACAGTTTTAAATTAAAGATCAAGGTTAGGGGAAAAAACCTTCACAATACTTAGTGCACAGAAAATAAAACAGTAAAACAAGTCAAAGTAAAACAAGAGCTTTGTGAAGCGCCTTCTTTGAGGCAATGTCAGTAAATAGAAATAAACAGATATAAACAATTACAGAGCACCTACTTTATAAAGCACAATGTGACAGTGATACGTCTGGCAGGTTAACACTCTGGGCAATTGTCTATGTTGCCTATAGCAGGAACTGCTACTGCCTGTGACCTACAGTGGCTAATTTCCCACAAATCCATTTTCTGTTATAATTAAACAGCAATCCGCCAGTAGGTATGATTGGTTCATAAAATAATCTTTACCTAGGCTTCTACCTGATTGAAGCAGTATTTTAAGTATATTATATCTGAATTGCCTTTAGAATAAGAATTAGAATTGTGTTAATACTAGGACTGCAGCAGTTAACCAACAAAATAAAAGTAAAAGTAAAAGTACATTTCAAAAATAAATATAGTTGCCAACAAATTTTATTATTGAGTAATCTCATTGTTTAACTTTACATACATACACAAATTATATACTTTTAAATATAGCATATGTTTCAAGATTCAAGATTCAAAGAACTTTATTAATCCCAGGGGGAAATTGCTTTGCCATGTTACAGTTGCTCACAAGAAAGAAAGAAAGAAAGTATGTATATATATATATATATATATATATATATATATATATATATACAGTCAGGTCCATAAATATTGGGACATCGACACAATTCTAACATTTTTGGCTCTATACACCACCACAATGGATTTCAAATGAAATGTTTTTGGTGGTAATGTCATGGCGTGGGCATGTATGGCTGCCTATGGAACTGGTTCTCTTGTATTTATTGATGATGTGACTGCTGACAAAAGCAGCAGGATGAATTCTGAAGTGTTTCGGGCAATATTATCTGCTCATATTCAGCCAAATGCTTCAGAACTCATTGGACGGCGCTTCACG